AATGGGCATAATTAAGTGTGAAAATAACCGAAGAATATACAGTCAAAGCAAAAATTATACAGAGACCAGATATAAATTTTGATATTTTTTTTTACTAGTGGGTGCAGGACACTATAGTTAATTTATGTAAGTGAGGATAGCAAAATAAAGTAAACTGTGACAAATCATCCCCAAAAATTCTTCACACAGTGGACTACCAGTAAAACTGATACAAATTTGAGACCAAAAATGATTCAGACCGAGTCTGGGGAAAAAAAATGAAGTTCAGGTTTGCATGAACCTGGATGACAGCATGCCCAGGAGACTACAGGCTGTCATTAAGGCTAAGGGTTGCCCGACTAAGTATTGATAGTTGTGTAAATATTGTCATACTAACAGCTGTCTGAATAATTTTTGGTTGATTGTAATCCATTACATACCTTTCTATCAAAGTTATCTGACATTATCAAGCTGAATTTGTTCTGACACAGTTTAACTCTGAGTTCTTGTCATATTTTATTACCATTTTCTAAACTATAGCGAATAAACTGTGATAATGTGAGAAAAGTTGAAGGTGTCTGAATACATTTTGGTTTGACTGTATCTATTTGATAAATGAAGTTAACCAACTAACATTATACATTCTTTTTTTTTGTTTCTGTACCCAGTATTTAAAAAAATTTACAAATGCAATAAAAATATCAGTATCGGTACAAAAAAAAAATTATCGGTATCGGGCGATTACTGGAAAAAGTAGTATCGGTGCATCCCTACAGTATATATTTACAAAGTAAACTGTAAACAGAAATGCAAGGGTGAAAATGTATTTGCTTCTCAAAACACTGAGTTTTGATTTCTAAGATAACAAATTATGCATAAATGTTTCCACACATTATCATTGTGTATGGGCAATCAGTAAATAATGTGGCATTTAAATGGCCGTCAAACAAAAAAATGGTTAGTTTTGAATAATGTGTCTAATGTTGAGAACTGAGTTTAGTTTTCTGCAAAAAAAAAAAAAAAGTTTTTCAATTGCAAACTGATTGTAAAGCAGATAATGTGCTTGCAGACTTTGTCTGAAGGTTCGGTATATGGATGAATGGTTTCACTGAGTGTGCATAAAAAACAAATTTTAGTGTACAAGAAAAAAAAAACTGCAATGTCATTCATTGGCAGTTACCTTCATCTGTTCATTTAAATGGATGATACTCCTTTCCAGAATGTATCTAGCTACAGAAAAAAAAAAAACAATAATAAATATTTTGAATGCCATAGCATATAGACTGCAATTTCGGAATAATTTGAATGATTCTTGCAGTCAGCAGTCCTCTTAAATCAAAAACTACCTGGCACAAGTGTAGATCTAATGCAAGTTATGGCTTTATTTCCTTATGGTATCAATAAGACACTTTTCCAGTGGTTATAATGTACTGAACCAAAAATTACAAGTCATTCGTCCATCATTTCAGCAAATGATCTTCTTCAAAGAAAGGAAAGAAAGAAAGAAAGAAAGAAAACAAGCATCAAATAAACTCTCTGGTGCTTTACACATTACACAGCATTTCAAAGCAGCTTTATAGATTGGATTGTTATAAAACTGAACTGCTGTGAATCACTTTGTTTTTAGCACCTTTGTTAATTAAATATATTTTATGTATGTATTTTGAAGTCTTAATAGGGCTTTAATTGATATTTTCCCATCATATGTTGCTTTGTATTTTGCTCAGGCTTACACAGGATGATATAACATTTTGGTGCAAATATGCAGAATAGTAAGCCAAAGCTTGAGGCTAAAATGGCAAATATCTCCACAGCTACAGTAAATTTTCCAGGAGAACTTATATAATCTGGGATAAATGTGATCCATACAGCACAGAATATGAGCATACTGAATGTAATGAATTTAGCTTCATTGAAGTTATCAGGCAGCGTGTGAGCCAAAAAAGCCAAAATAAAGCACAAGACAGCCAATAGGCCAATATAACCCAGAACAGCAGAGAAACCTATAGTAGAACCCAGACTGCACTCAAGAATGATCTTTTCTTTATAATAATTCATATTTTTGTGAGGTAAAGGAGGAGATAATGTTAGCCAAAGCACACATATAAGAACTTGTATAACTGTAAAGGCAAGAGCACTGAGTCGTTGCTGTGCAGGCCCAAACCATTTCATGACATTACTTCCTGGAAGTGTAGCCTTGAAGGCCATTAACACAACTATTGTTTTCCCTAGAACACAGGAGATACAGAGGACAAAAGTGATCCCAAACACTGTGTGACACAACATACAGGACCACTCAGTGGGCCGACCGATGAAAGTAAGTGAACAGAGAAAACAAAGAGTCAATGAGAAAAGCAACAGAAAGCTCAGCTCTGAGTTGTTGGCTTTTACTATGGGGGTGTCTTTCTTGCTGTAAAACAGAATGGCCACCAACACGGTTAATCCTACTCCAAACAGTGAGAAAAAGACTAGCACTATACCCATAACTTCTGTGAATGACAGAAACTCTATAGCCTTAAAAACACAATTATTTTTCTCAGCATTAGACCAATATTCGCCTGGACACTGCTTGCAGTTAATTGAATCTGAAAAGGAAGTGGTGTTCACTATAGTTAGAGACAAAAGGGAAATTATTTAATTCAAAGAGTCTCTTGAAAAGAAACTGCATCCTTAAAAGCAAAAGGAAAACACAGAAAAAACACCTAACCAATTTTCTTTGGTACTTTGAGATGGTCTGAAGTTTACCTGTCTCATTACTGATTTCTCCTTCTGCACATGAAATACAGTCATAGCAGCAGACTGGTCTTCCTTTCTGTGTAGCCTTCCTAGTGCCTGGAGGACAGCTCTCACTGCACACAGAGTTTGGCTTCTACATGGACACAATACATCATACAGTTATTTGTAGTGGTTTATTTACCAAAACATTTGCTCAAAATAGTTGCTTTATCAATGTTCATTAAAAGGGAGACATATTTTCTGTCTTCACCTATGAACAGGAGAAGAGATTTGTGAAGTGGTAGAGGGCATTGTTTAGGTTTTCACATTATAATATATATATATATATATATATATATAAATATATATATATTTTTTTAGAAAGACATACACATACACTGAATAAGCATATAAGCCAAGTCAGAAAGTCAGCTTTATTTATAAAGCGCTTGTACAATATAGATACAATGTAAACAGAAATGGAAGGGGGTAAAAATAATTTATTTCTAAAAAAAACAACAACTGAGTTTTGATTACTAAGTGAACAAATGATGTATAAGTGTTTTCACACATGATCACTGTGTGTAGGTCATCAGTAAATGAGTGTGGCATTAAAATGGCAGTGTATCCCAAATTAAACAAAAGAGCAATTAGTTTCGAATGATGTGTGTAATGTAGAGAACTGTGTTTAGAGTTTTACAAAAAGTTTGTTTTACAATTTCAAACTGAGTTTAAAGCATGTAATGTGCTTATAGTTTTGCAGACATGGTCTAAAGATTAGGTATATGAGTGAATGGTTCCATATATATATTAGTGCTGTCAAACGATTAATCGTGATTAATCACA